CCCATTTATATAAAATTAGAAAATATAAAAACTTAATTCAATAAGCTCCCTATGCATTTATGCATAAATAGGAACAGCCAGAAAATATGAATGAGGCCAGGTGTGGTGGCTCATGCCTGTAATCCCGGCACTTTAGGAGGCAGAGGCGGGTGGATCACAAGGTTAGGAGATTGAGACCATCCTGGATAACATGGTGAAACCCCGTCTCTACTAAAAATACAAAACTTAGCTGGGCATGGTTGTGTGCTCCTGTAATCCCAGCTACTTAGGAGGCTGAGGCAGGAGAATCGCTTGAACCTGAGAGGCAGAGGTTTCAGTGAGCCAAGATCATGCCACTGTACTCCAGCCTGGCAATAGAGCAAGACTTCGTATCAAAAAAAAAAAGAAGAAGAAGAAGAATATGCATGAATAAGCACAAAATTCAGAATAGTGGTTACCTGGAGGGAGGGAAAGAAGGTGCACAGGGGCTCCACGTCTACTTGTAATGTTTGATTTTTAAAATCTGAAGCAAATGTGGAAAAATATTAAGATGTTATGCTTGGTGGTAGATACAGGGCATTTATTTGAGATACGATTCTTCAGGCATTTCTGCACACTGAAATATTTCAAGATAAACAAAGAGAAGAAGTCGACTCTCTGAGGGCTCAGGCTTAGAGGCACTTGTATATGGGATTAATAAATAGTTTCATTGTCTCCTGAAGAGAAATGGCAAACTATTCCACTCCCCAAGGAGTATATTTATTCTTTAGGAGTAATTTATTCTTTGGAGCTTTGAATATACCTTAACTCTTTCCATAAAGGATTTGAGGTATTTTGCAACAAAAGACACGTACAATGAATCATGAAAACATAAACATAAGTAGAAAATCAGGATCAAATATACTAAACATTCCATCAATACTGGTTAACACAGTTGCTGTGATTAAATTTCAAACTTGGCTCTGAAGTTCTTGGCAACAGTAACCACTCCATCTCCATCTGACCCATAAAAGCAGATTATAAAAACTAACCTTTGTTCTTCAAGATTTAAATAAAATATTTTCCTGAGTAGTCTGTCTTTATTCTATTTTGCATTTTGCCTGCAGCTAACTAGCCAGATTCTCTGTCCCCCTTCTTTCTCTTTTCTTTCCTTTTTAAATTTATTAAATAAACTGTGAGATGGGAGAATAAAGCCCAGGTTTGCCCAAAGAGATAATAGGATGTTTTTGGGTCTGTCAACAAACTGTTAATGATAGAAAATCATGGAATCAAACCAAGAGAAAATATAGGTGAATCATTAGCTGCTTTCTGAATAAGCAGTAAATTCTGAATTATGATGAATGAAATCACAAAGAAAAACAATAGGAGAAAAACAGAAGGAAAATCACAAAGAAAAACAGAAGGAAAAACTCAGATAAAAATGAAAATAAAAAGGCAAGTACAGACCGGGTGCGGTGGCTCATGCCTGTAACACCAGCACTTTGGGAGGCCAAGACAGGTGGATCACAAGGTCAGGAAATCGAGACAATCCTGGCTAACACGGTGAAACTCCGTCTCTACTAAAAATACAAAATAATTAGCCGGGCATGGTGGCAGGCGCCTGTAGCCCCAGCTACTCAGGAGGCTGAGGCAGGAGAATTGCTTGAACCCGGGAAGCAGAGGTTGCAGTGAGCCAAGATTGCGCCACTGCACTCTAGCCTGGGCGACAGAGTTAGACTCTGTCTCAAAAAAAAAAAAAAAAAAAGAAGGAAAAGAAAAGGCAAGTACACTATGATAATCTTATTTAGCAAGTGAAAGGTTTATTCTCTTAAATATAAAGATAGCATAAACAAGTACTGCTATATGCCAATGACTCCAAATTCTACAATTCTAGCCCATCTACACTTCTCAACTCCCAACTCATATTCACACCTACTTAACACCTGCACTTGGATATTTAACAACCATCTCAACATATGCTGAGATGTGTGGTATATCTTCTATATATTGTACATGTTGAGATACATTGTGTATTCCATAAGATGGAATTCCTGATTCTTCCTCCCAACAGATGCTCCATTCACAGATTGCTCTCATCTCAGTTGATGGCAACTCAATCTTTTCGGTAGTCCGAGCCAAAAACCTTGGGGCCATCACTGACTAATGTTTCTCATACTCCATATACAATTCTGTCAGTAAAGCTTGTTGGCTTTATCTTTAAAATACACCCATGATCCAACTACTTTTTGACATCTCTGCCGCTATCACCTTGATCCAAGTCACAATTATCTCTTGCCTAGAACAGGGCAGCACCTTCCCAACTGGTCCCCCTAATTTATTTATTGCCCCCTCCTGAAGTTGATTCTCTACACATTATTGCAATGAATCCAGCTGCCAATATTTTATACTTTAATATGTATATCCTTAAATAATACACAGTATTGTACATGTGTACTTATACATTTATGCTAGTATTTATACTGCACACAATGTCTACAATATGCTTCACATGTAGACACAGTTGAGAAATTCTCATCTTTTATTTCCTATTTCTCAGCACAACGACAAAACATGAAAGTAGATCAGGAACGACCATGGGCATCAAAATTCTTCCCAGATGCCAGATCCTTAAGACTAACAGTGAATGTGGGTGCTGTTTACTATTTATTGGCTGAAATACCCTTAGGTGTGTTTTTTTAATCCTCTCTATGCCTCAGTTTTCTAGTGTTCTAATGGGATTGCTATCATATATATATTGCAGCATTAGGAAATTAAATGAGAATGTATATAAAGAGCTGATAATAGTGCAAGACATTGCTCAACGAATCTTTGTTGTTAAGATGATTACTCACTGAAGAGAATATTAATCCCAGTGCATTCCCTGCCCGATCAGGAATAGATCAGGAGCATGGTAGGGCTGCACTGTCTTATGTGCCAGGCCTTCAGTGGAATGATGCTCAGGAAGTGAGGAACTGATACCAGCACCATCCTCCGACTCAGCAGCACAGTTAACCAGCCTCAGGTCCACCTGCACACGTGGTAACCATCCCCAGGTCTAGCAGCACACTTCACCATCCAGCCACTGTACCAGAACATGGGGTAGAGTATCTCCCTAAATGGGAGTACTGAATGCTTCTGCTTTTGAGGCAAATGCAATTTTGTTTCTGCATAAGATCCCTTTTGGAAAAAAGCAATTCTTCAGCACACATTAGCCTAGAGAGTCTCAGACTGTGGATTTGCATCTCTTCCCCTTCCCTGAAAACCCTGGAAAATTCCAAGTAGAAATGGCAATTTGTTCCCTAGATCACCACTCACTCACAACATAGGACCCTCACTTGATCCCTAACCCAGCAGACCCAGGTCTCCTTGTCTTTTTATCTGGGGATTATCGTCACCCAGGAACTTCAGAAAGCAAAATGAGCTTGGAGGGTAAAACTAGATGGGAGGACCGCCATTGGAAGTTTGAGACCAGACAAAATAAGGATTCAAGAAGTAGAAATCAGTATGGGATAGTGGGAGCAGGTAGGAGCGAAAGGGAACTCAGGTAGGAAGGAAGGAGAGACGAAAGCTGAGGAATAAAGACGCTTGGTTTCAGGGACAAGAGAAAGACCCTATTACCAGGCCTGAAGCAGGTCTGGGTAGAGCCAGCAGTGGCTGGGACGGCTTGCTGCCATTTCATTGAATGCTGACTTAGTGTTCCTAAAATTCCCAGGATGGCTGGGCCAAGAAAGCATGTGAGTGTCAAGTCTCTTTAGCATCAGGGATGGGAGGGTTAGGGGAGGAGAGACATGCAGGAAGCCGGACAGAGTATTAAACAGCCAGACCATTCATCTGCAAAGCCTAGAGTGGGAAGACTCCCGAAGAGTCACAAGTTCTTATGTCTTTCCAGTCTGGCAGAAGTCCACAGACAATACACTTTTGGTTCTCCTCTCAATATCACTTTCAAGCTGGGATCTCATTTCTATACCAAACAAGACATAAGCCCCAGGAGAGATAACTGTTTACTAGCCAGATGAGAAATGGTCCATATGTTTCAGTTTGGAGAGGCTAAAGGATCAGAAAGCAAGGCTAATAGCTCCTCTGTCCTAGGGCACCAACCCTTTCAACCTACATCCGAAAGAGTAATAATTAAAGCTCAATGTATTGGGTGTTTGCTGTGTGCCAGGCATGACGAGAAATGCTTTACATGTATTGTTTCTTTTGATCCTCATGACTATCTTATGAAGTGTATGCTATTAGGAGGAAACTGAGGTTACACACTAGTAAGCTGATGGCCTAAGTGCCAAGATGAAAAAACCAGGACAGCCTTTTAAGGCTATGATCAGAAAAATGGTAACCTGTTAAAGTTAAGCACTCCTTCTGGGAGAAGAGTAATTAAGAGATCTTAAGGATGTGGGTCTTTCTCAGAACCGCAATAGCAGCTTACCTAGCTTCCTTTCAGGTGTCTCTGCAAGTCTCTGCATGTCTTTGCTGTCGTACATCTTCTAGTCCTGTTTTCCCATATCCTGGTGGTCCTGCTGACATAATAGCTGCTAGGTAAAATCTAAGCAAACTGAAGAATTCAGTTTATTTATTAAGATTGTTTTTCTGAAGTGGCATAATCTCTAGCTATGGTAATAGGCTCCTACTACCCTTCTCACCAGCATGAATTTGATCTTCAAATGAAATTTTAAAAATTAGAACCCTTCACTCATGCATCCCTAATACTTCTGAGGCACAGGTACACATGCATGTCTATTAAGAGCCCCTGAGAGCTAATAATGGAAGGAAACACCTTGCAGAGAAGCAGACTTACTGATTTGTAACAGCATTTTACAATCACTCAGGATCTCCTAAGACAAAACATTTTCTTCCTGTCCCAGTTTTGACTCATTTTCATATTTTCTGTCCATAGTGATTCCCAGGACCTCCTGTGGTTCCCTGAGAATGCATCCCTAGAAGAATGGGGCATCCTCCATATAGGTGAACAGCAGGGACCGTACCTAACTGAAGAGGAACATACAATAAATATGACAATTCTGACTGAATTGAGGCAAACATACTTTATTTTTACTAATTTATTAGTAAGTTTATTCTTCACTCATAAAAAGAACATATTTTTGGTTTTGAAATCATGACATAAAATAAAAAGGGAAATAACTGAAAATTATCAGCTAAAAGTAGGTAGATGCAGCTCATGCTGAATCATCAGCAAATACTACGTGCTTTGGGCTGTAGCAGGGCACCAATCAAAGCAAGAACCAAGGATGCAGTGCCACGCCAGCTCTGAAAACTGCTTAGCTCCCAGAGGTTGTTTGGTCATCACATACAGGAAATTAATCCTTCCTTTCTCCTTTCCTTCTTAACTTTTAGCTATGAGAACAGTGGGCAATAATGCTTTAATACTAGTCTTTCTAGTTTATAGGATAGTGTTGTTGTTTTAACATGTATAACCTGCATATTTTCAACCTTCAAAAAATAAAACTGCCAAAATCAACTGTAACTAAAGGCCATCTTTATTTTTGGTCTGTTATCTGCTGTAGGCAGAGCTTCATATAGGAATTTTTATTGCGAATTTCTATAACTGCATCCCTAACAAGCTCAATGAACATCTGTGGCCAAAGCTTCTGCAAAGCCTCATTTTTCATGTTGATTTCTGTGGCTTCCTTCACAAGGTCTTCTATATACATTTTACAGAATTTCTTCTTTTCCTTTATTTCCTGTTTAAAAAAAAGAAAGTTTTGCATTAAATCATAACTAATCCAAAAGTCAAAGCAACAATTAGCTGAACGACAAAAAAATGGAAATAATTTATTCTGACCCCCATCCCTTCCCCACCTACTCCTCAGAGCAGGAATTCTTCCCTAGTCACTGCTGACAGAGAGTTCTGCTTCAGTAAAGATAACAACAAGGGCCTCAGTCCTTCTCAGTCTACTCCTACCTCTGTTGGACAGCTCTGCTAGAAAATGTGTTTCTTTACTGGAATTGTTGAATCATAACTACTATTTCTCCTATCTCAGTTCAGGTCATTTAGCTCATACAAGTCAGCTGAATGCAGACTCACAGATTCCTGTGGTAAATGTATCAGGATACAGATAGTGATAATTTCAGTTGGTATGATATTAGTTAATATCTATATAATACTTTAAGTACCTATACTCTGAATTTACCCTCTATTACGGAAAAGCATAAAATGGTACACTACACTGACTTATGCAGCCTTGACCATTTGGAGAAAGTTGGGGGAAAGTGTACAAGGAGGAAGAGTAAACATACATAAACCTGGGATCCAGTACATTGCCTTCTAAAGAAACAGGTCTCCCACTCAACTTCTGGGTCTGGCAGTGTGCAAATGAAAAACCTGGTTCTAAACACAACAGAGGAATTTTGGGGCCAGAGGATATTTGAGCATTGTGCCCCAATTTTATCACAGAGGCTAAAACAAAGTGATTTTGTTTAATGCAAGAGTTTAATATTTATTTTGGCTATTGATACTTCTGGAGAGCATCAAGGCATGATCATGGAAAGTATAATATATATGGAAGAATCAATGTAACACATCAGATAATCAGAATTATAAGGGAAGTAATGCACATCAATGAAGAAGGAAAGTAATAAATATCAACGAGACAATAGATTTAACTACTTGGAAAAGGATCCATTTAAATCTCCAAGTCAAGTCAAAACACCAAAATAATTTCAAGATAAATTAAATGAGTTAAATTTAAAATATCATAGGCCAGGCATGGTAGCTCACATCTGTAATCCCAGCACTTTGGGAGGCCAAGGCAGGAGGATCGCTTAAGGCCAAGAACTCAAGACCAGCCTGGGCAACATAGTGAGACTCCATCTCTACAGAAAAACAAGAATAAAAAATTTAGCCAGGTGTAATAGCATATGCCTACAGTTCCAGGTACTTGGTAGGCTGAGGTGGGAGAATCGTTTGAGCCCAGGAGTTCAAGGCTATAGTTTCAGCTATGATCATGCCATTGCACTCCAGCTTGAGTAACAGAGTGAGACCCTGTTTCTAAAAAAAAAAGAAAAAAATTTGGCCTGGGGCAGTGGCTCACACCTGTAATCCCAGCACTTTGGGAGGCCAAGGCAGGTGGATCACTTGAGGTCAGGAGTTTGAGACTAGCCTGGCCAGCATGGTGAAACCCCACCTCTACTAAAAACATAAAAATTAGCTAGGGTTGCGGCACACGCCTGTAGTCCCAGCTACACGGGAGGCTGAGGCAGGAGAACTGCTTGAACCTAGGAGACGGAGGTTGCAGTGAGCTGAGGTCATGCCACTGCACTCCACCTGGGTGACAGAGCAAGACTCTGTCTCAAAAAACAAAACAAAACAAACCAACAAAATTCTAAAAATCGCAGATATTGTCATTAAAATTATACCTACGAAGATTTCTAGGAAGTCCTAGCCAGAACGGTCAGGCAAGAGAAAGAAATTAAAAAGCATCTAAATAGGAAAAGAAGTCAAACTATCTCTCTTTGCTGACAATATAATTTCTATACCTAGAAAATCCTAAAGACTCTGCCAAAAGGCTCTTGAACTGAAACAATTTTAGTAAAACTTCAGGATATAAAATCAATGTACAAAATTCAGTAGCGTTTCTATACACCAACAACATCCAGGCTGAGAGTGAAATCAAGAACACAATCCCACTTACAATAGCCACAAAGACAATGAAATACCTAGGAATACAGCTAACTAAGAAGGTGAAAGATCTCTACAAGGAGAACTACAAAACACTGCTGAAAGAAATCAGAGATGATACAAATAAATGGAAAAACATTCCCTGCTGATGGATTAGAAGAATCAATATCATAAAAATGGCCATATTGCCCAAAGCAATTTACAGTTCAATGCTATTCATATCAAATTCCCAATGTCATTCTTCACAGAATTAGAAAAAAATTCTAAAATTCATATGGAACCAAAAAAGAGCCCAAATAGCCAAAGCAATCCTAAGCAAAACAAAACAAAACAAAACAAAACAAAAACAAAGCCAGAGGCATTATGCTACCTGACTTCAAACTATACTATTAAGCCACAGTAACCAAAACAGCTTGGTATTGGTAAAAAACAGACACATAGACCAATGGAACAGAATAGAAAACTCAGAAATAAAGCTGCACACCAAAAACCATCCGATCTTCAACAAGGCTGACAAAAACAAGCAATGGGGAAAGGACTCCCTATTCCATAAATGGTGCTGAGATAACTGGCCAGTTATATGCAGAAGACTGAAGCTGGACCTTTCCTATCTTTCACCATATACAAAAATTAAAAGGGATTAAAAATTTAAATGTAAGACCTCAAACTATAAAAATTCTGGAAAACTCTTCTCGATATTGGCCTTGGCAAAGAATTTTTGGCTAAGTCCCCAAAAGTAATTGCAACAAAAACAAAAATGGACAAATGGGACTTAATTAAACTAAAGAGCTTTTGCACAGCAAAAGAAACTATCAAGAGAGCAAACGGACAACCTACAGAATGGGAGAAGATATTTGCAAACTATGTATCTGACAAAGGCTTAATATCCAGAATCTATAGGGAATTTAAATCACCAAGCAAAAACCAAATAACCCCATTTAAAAAATGGGCAAATGACATGAACAGGTACTTCTCAAAGGAAGACATACAAGTGGCCAACAAGGATACGAAAAAGTGCTCAGCATCACTAATCATCAGAGAAATGCAAATCAAAACCACAGTGAGATACCACCTCACACCAGTCAGAATGGCTATTACTAAAAAGTGAAAAGACAACAGATGCTAGCAAGGCTGTGGAGAAAAAGGAACTCTCATACACTGCTGGTGGGAATATAATTAAATTAGTCTAGCCACTGTGGAAAGCAGTCTGGCGATTCTTAAATAACTTAAAACAGAGCTACCATTTGGCCCAACAATCCCATTACTGGGTATATACTACAAAGAAAATAAATCATTCTACCAAAAAGACACATGCACTCGTATGTTCTCTGCTGCACTATTCACAATAGCAAAGACATGGAATCAGCCCAGGTGCCCATCAATGGTAGACTGGATAAACAGAATATAGTATATATACACCATGGAATACTAACTACATAGCCAAAACAAAGAGTGAAATCCTGTCCTTTGCAGCAATATAGATGGAACTGGAGGCCATAACCTTAAGCAAATTAATGCAGAAACAGAAAACTAAGTTGCATGTTCTCACTTATAAGTGGGAGCTAAGCACTGAGCACACATGGAAGACAGGAACAACATAAATATGGGAATATAGACGCTAGTAGGGGTGTGGGTTAAATAACTACCTATCTGGTACTCTGCTCATTACTAGGGTGACAGGATTCATACTCCAAAACCCAGTGTCACACAATACTCTCATGTAACAAATCTGCACTGTATCCTGTATCTAAAAGATAAAATATTTAAAAGTAAAATAAAATAAAAATAAGAAAGATTCGTAATAAGAAAAAATGCTTACATCATAATGTTATGTGAAAAAAATAAAAATGTTCTGATAGGGTTTGGGTTATAGGAATGTATGATTTGTCAAAACTCAGCAATTGTACACCTAAGATTTACATTTCACTATGTAAGTTTTACCTCTAAATGGTAAAATTTACAAAGAAAAATACTCTATAGAATACTGAATTCCAATTAATGAAATGCACGCTAAATTATTTAGGCAGAAGCACACTAATGTCTGCAATCACTGTGAAATGAATTTAAAAAATCCCAAGGTAGACTGATGGAGGGATAGATACATAGATATGTGACAAAGTAAGTACACTGTATAGTACGATGCTAATAGTTGAGTGTAGGTTTTGGATGTATGGATGTTTATTGTAAAATTCTTTCAACTTTGCTGTATGTTTGAAGTTTTTATTAAAAAGTTAGAAAAGAATGCATAAAAACTATTGAAGGAAATATATTGAAGTCTCATTAAGATTGTTTCTGAGTTCTTGGCTCACGCCTGTAATCCCAGCACTTTGGGAGGCTGAGGCGGGTGGATCACGAGGTCTGGAGATTGAGACCATCCTGGTTAACACGGTGAAACCCCATCTCTACTAAAAAAAAACAGAAAAAATTAGCCAGGTGTGGTGGTAGGTGACTGTAGTCCTAGCTACTCAGGAGGCTGAGGCAGGAAATGGAGTGAACCCAAGAGGCAGAGCTTGCAGTGAGCCAAGATCGCGCCACTGCACTCCAGCCTGGGCGAGTGAGACTCTGTCTCAAAAAGAGAGAGAGAGAGAGAGAGAGAGAGAAAGGAAGGAAGGAAGGAAAGGAAGGAAGGAAGGAAGGAAGGAGGGAAGGAAGAAAGAAAGAAAGATTGTTTCTGAGTTCTGAGAACATTAGTATGTTTTCCTCCTTTTTAATATGTTTCTTCTTTTTCCCAATGCTTATGATTTTTAAATTTAATTTAATTTAATGTAACTTAATTTATTTTTTGGAGACAGGGTCTCACTCTGATGCCCAGGCTAAAGTGTAGTGGCATGATCTCTGCTCACTGCAACCTCTGCCTCCCAGGCTCAAGCGACCCTACCACCTCACCTTCTTGAGCAGTTGTGACCACAGGCGTGCACCACCACACCCAGCTAATTTTTGTATTTTTTTGTAGAGACGTGACTTTGCCATGTTGCCTAGGCTGGTCTCAAACTCTTGAACTCAAAAAATCCACCCACCTCAGCCTCCTAAAGAGCTGGGATTATAGGCATGAGCCACCGCACC